CTGTGTTCTCAGTCCCTATTTATCTCTAGTTGGGGTGTCTGTAAGGGATGTGATTGTACGCCACTTCAAAAGAATAAGTGTTTTGTGAGTGTTACACTGACAACCACCCTCATTTGCCTCCTCCGACCCAGACACCACGGGGGCGTTCTCGATTGGAAAACTGCAAACTTAGAGGTAGAAGCTAGAGGGCATCATAGGCAGGGACTTCCGAGAATTGCCAGTGTCCCTGTTCTCCGGTCAACCCCCGGGGGGGGGGGGGGAAACCGTCTCCTCAGACTGGATGTCTTCCTCTAACAAGAGAGGATGATCCCTAATTAGGGGGTTGACTAAAAGGTGTCTTGAAGACAAGAGGCCCCACAAAGGACCGTGGGCAGATTGAGGAGCCCATGCCTGCTCCCTGGTTATGGTCTAGCTCAGCGATGCGTTCCTCTTGGGCGTATGGAGACCGCTGGCAGTAAGGACGCAGATGTGTGTTCATCATTTAGACCTGCTCTGTGTGGGCCCCTCAGGAACCCCTACCCACTTGTATCCATTGAGTGCGTGGGATATGGTTAATGCATGCTGTGTTTCCAGTAAGCCAAAAGCCTGGGGTGGGGATGGGGGGAGAACGGAATGCCTCACTCATAATGGTTTATATTAAATTAATGCTGAAATAGCAGATTGTATATATTGAGTTCAAATGGATGGTTAACATTTCTCCTTGTTTTATGTTTTCAATGTAGTGTCTAGAAAATGTAAAATTAGCCGGGTGTTGGTGGCGCACGCCTTTAATCCCAGCACTTGGGAGGCAGAGGCAAGTGGATCTCTGTGAGTTCGAGGCCAGCCTGGTCTACAAGAGTTAGTTCCAGGACAGGCTCCAAAGCTATGGAGAAACCCTATCTTGGAAAAAAAATGTAAAATTATACATGCAGATCGCATTATATTTCTGTTAGACAATGCTGGTTTATGTCCCTTCGCCTCTTTCACATATTCTAACCTGTTTTTATGCAGTTACTTTGCTGCACCGTGTGTCTCCTGTTTCCTGCACATTCTCTTCTTTACCTACTTGTCTTTCAGCTTTTTTAAAAATTTACTTATTTATTTATTTATAAAAATTTCCACTTTCTCCCCTCCTCCCAGTACCCTCCCACTCCCCCCACTCCCTCTCCTCCTCCCTCTCCAGTCCTAAGAGCAGTCAGGGTTTCCTGCCCTGTGGGAAGTTCAAGTTCCTCCCCCTCCCTCCAGATCTAGGAAGGTGAGCGTCCAAACAGACCAGGATCCCAAAAAGCCAGTACATGCAGACGAAACAAGACCCAGTGCCATTGTCAATGGCTTCTCAGTCAGCCCCCATGTCAGCCACATTCAGAGAATCCGGTTTGATCACATGCTTGTTCAGTTCCAGTCCAGCTGGCCTTGGTGAGCTCTCATTAGATCAGTCCCCTTGTATCAGTGGGCGAACGCACCCCTCGCCGTTCTGATCTCCTTTTTCATGTTCTCCTTCCTTCTGCTCCTCATTTGGACCTTGGGGGGTTCAGTCTGGTGCTCCAATGTGGGTCTCCGTCTGTATTGCCATCCATTGTCGGATGAAGCTTCCCTCTGATCTTGCCTTCCTTGCTCACGTTCTCTTTCCTTCTGCTTCTCATTTGGACCTAGGGAGTTAAGTCCAGTGCTCCAGTGTGTGTCTCTGTCTCTATCTCCATCCATCGCCAGAGGAAGGTTCTCTGGATAGAACTCCTCAGCACTCTTCTTTCTGCTTTTATTCACGCAACTAATACGTTCTGAAGCTTTTTGGGATTTGTTTGTTTGTTTGTTTTCGTTGCTGTGGCAATACTGTAAACACACAAAACTCCTTGTCCTCCTCAGTCAAAGGCAAACTAGCCCAGCTCTGTGGCCATCCACCCTAGCTGTGACATTTGTCTATTTCCGCTCCTCAGTGTCTCCTCTCTTGTTCCCGGCTGGGCCCTGGAGTCAATCTCCAGGACCATCAGTGTGGTCTGTGCCAAGTGTGGGTTCACGCACAGGTCAGGTGTGAGACCATCAGCCTGCCCTCCCCCCCCCGGGGCGGCGGGGGGGGCCCGGCCGGCCCCCCCCCCCCCGCGGTCAGCTGTGAGACCACCGGCCTGCCCCCCACCCCTCCACCCCCGCCCAGAGGTCAGCTGCGAGCATCACCGCATCACCGATGCTTTTGCGCCTAATCCCCAGCATTCCGGGGTCTCACTGTGTTTGGATTGCGGCTATCACGGTGCTCTGGGCAGCACACAGATCTTTACAGACACCAGGCTGTCCTTTTTGCACAGTTGTTGGGACAGATTGTGCGTGTGAAGTGACATCAGTAGCGTACTGAATTCTTTCCTATATGAGCTTTTTGGTCTTCTCAAAAATCTCGAGTTCCTAGAGGGAACCATATGCGGTAGGAAGGAGATGAAATGAAAAGAACATCCCTTAGGTTTTATTGTTCAGTATCCTCTCGGATCTGATACTAAGTACATAATAACACATGATCCATATATGTCTGCCGATTCCATTAATTAATTAATTAGTTCCATTAATGTGGTAAATTCACATATCTCCAGGCCTTTTTCCTTTTCAACTGAGATACATGTAATGCGTTCAGGTTTTGATTTTTTATTTTAGGTCTTTTCTTGGTCCAGTGTGGTCTCATGGGTGGGACACTTGTCTTTTATTCTTTGTGTCCTTGGCACCTACCACACAGGAGGTGCTCCGTGTGTATCCTCTGGTGGTCACAAAGTCAGGTCTTAGCCTTCGTGGCCGACTTTGGCACTGGAGAACAGCGTTTGCCTGGGGCATGAGCCCCAGACGGGGTTTCTTGGGAGTTGAGCTTCTCTGTGATGCAGGGTGGTTCTGTTTTGGATTGCTGCTGTCTTTTGGGTGGGTGAGGATACTGACAGCCTGCTCTCCCAGTCAGAAATAGACAAGGGTTGGGGATGGAGCATGGGGGAGTCATGGAACTATGCAAACCAGTTCTGCTTGGTGAAATTAAAGTAGAATGAACTAATGGGATCATATTCATGGCTAGACTTAATTGAACACTTAGTTTATGCTAGACACTGTTTTAAATTTGTTTTTTATTCTACAATAACTAATTTAGTGTGTTCCAAAGTCCTGGGGACAGAGATTAATGACAATAGGAAAACAGAACAAGAAGACGACATTGAAATAAGATGTCAGTGATCACAGGGTGAATGAATGGTAGAGACATGACCAAAAACCCATGCATGGGGCTTTGGACCTCATTCCCGAAAGCACAATGCTAACCCACTTCTCTGTTTAAATATAGGCCATGCTAAAACATACAATCCAGTTGTGTGCCTTGGTCTTTTCCTTTGTTTCTAGAGCAGAATAATTTCCACAGTTAGTCTGTTGTGTTTTAAGTTGTGAAGACTCTGGCCTATTTCTCTCAGGCAAGTAGCTTCGTTATGGACAGCGTGCCTTTGCCGTCCGCCTGCCATGTGTTAGGAGTTAATTATTGATAGCTCGCTGGAACTGGTGTGGCGCTTGACTCACAGAGTTCATAAAGAAATCATGGCTTATGGAAATGCCCTGGCATGAAAGCAGCGAGCCGCTGACCCGTGTTTTAGGCTTCATAGGTCAGAGAGTGTCCAACAGTCATGGGACATATCTTAATGGGGTGCTCCTGCATACACCACGCAAAACAGAAGGGGCTGCGTGAACAAGCAGGGGAACTTAATGCCATTGCCCTGAAGAAACCAGCTTGTCTGTTTTTATTTTTCTCTTTCCACGTAGGGTTTCCTGCCTACCAATCCAAGTTACTATTTGTTTATTTATTTACTTACTTACTTATTTATCTGAGGCATCTCGCTGCCAGATTATTTTGACTCAAGGAATAGTGCTAAAACCATGAGATCAACTTCATGGCAGAAATCGCTGTAGATACATTTACAAGTACAGTAGGTGTATTCATGGAAACGTGAGCTCTGGGGTGGCTAATCTGGGCTGTCAAGTTGACACATCTGGGAAGAGAGAACTGTCTTAGTAAGAATTTCTGTGGTTGCTAGGAAACACCCTGGCCAAAAGCAAGCCGGGGAGAAAAGGGTTTATTTGGCATATAGCCCAGATCATAGTCCATCTCTGGAAGAATTCAGAACAGGAACTCAAGCAAGGCTGGAACCCGGAGGCAGGAACGGATGCAGAGGCCTTGGAGGGGGGATGCTCACTGGCTTGCTCCTCGTGGCCTGCTTAACTTGCTCTCTTAGAGAATCTGGGGCCACCAGCCCAGGATGGCCCCGTCCACAGTGGTTTGGCCTCTCCCACATCAATCACTGAGAAAATGCCTTACATCTGGATCTTCTGGAGGCCTTTTCTCAGCTGAGGTTCCCTCCTTTCAGACGACTCCAACCTAGGTAAAGTTGCCGTCAAACCAGCCAGGACAAGAACCACAACTGGAAAATTGCTGCTGTCTGACTGGCCTCTGGGCACGTCTGGGGGGCATTTTCTCGGTTGCTAATTGATGTAAGAGAGCCAGGCCAGCACGCTGTGAACAGTATTATCCCTGGCCAGGTGGGCCTGGGCTGTATAAACATGGAGTTCGACATGAGTAAGGGAGCAAGCTAGCAGCTTGGTCCCTGATTCGCTCAGTTTCTACCTCCACATTCCTGCTTGAGTGTCTGCCCTGGCTTCCCTCGGGTGATGGACTGAAGCCGGGAAGCTGAGACAATCTCCCTCCCCACCCTCCTTCACTCCTTGCTTTCTGCCATGGCATTTGTCATGGTAATAGAAAGCAAACCAGAACAGGCGTCTCACCAAAAGTACAGAACGGATGGGGAAACGGGAAAAGTTAGGGAACCGTTTCTCCCTGTTTCTCTGCTCACAGACTCGGTATCGAAGGTTGGTAGCTGTTGCCCAGCATGATGCCGGAGAGTAGCTGGCTTGCTTTGAAGTCAGAATCTCATGCTAACTTTTCAGGACTCCATAGGTTAGCTTTAAATGAAATATTTTATATCAAAGATTCCAGCAAAGACTGACGGTACAGTCGTCTTCCTTCCTCTGAGTAGTTCTTTCTTTCTCTGAGACCTGTGACTCGGCCCTGCTGATAGCAAGATGTCTTCAGGAAATGCAAAAATTGGGCATCCTGCCCCCAACTTCAAAGCCACAGCTGTTATGCCAGATGGACAATTCAAAGATATCAGCCTAAGTGATTACAAAGGAAAATATGTCGTATTCTTCTTTTACCCTCTGGATTTTACTTTTGTGTGGCCCACTGAGATCATTGCTTTCAGTGATAGGGCAGAAGAATTTAAGAAACCGAACTGCCAAGTGATTGGAGCTTCTGTGGATTCTCACTTCTGTCATCAGGCATGGGTTAATACACCCAAGAAACAAGGAGGATTGGGACCTGTGAACATTCCTTTGGTATCGGATCCCAAGTGCAGTATTGCTCAGGATTATGGAGTCTTAAAGGCTGATGAAGGTATCTCTTTCAGGGGCCTCTTTGTTATTGATGATAGAGGTATCCTTCGACAGATCACTGTAAATGATCTTCCTGTTGGCCGCTCTGTGGATGAGACTCTGAGACTAGTCCAGGCTTTCCAGTTCACTGACAAACATGGTGCAGTGTGCCCAGCTGGCTGGAAACCTGGCAGTGGTACCGTCAAGCCTGATGTCCAAAAGAGCAAAGACTATTTCTCTAAGCGGAAGTGAATACTGGACCGTTGTTCTGCCAGGCTGCATTGGGCAGCCAGAAGAAAATCTCCTGTAGTCTATTTGTGCTTAAAAACAAAACTTGGTGTTATCCAAGACATGCCTTTCCTGCAGTGCTAGGGGGTGGGGGTTGACCTGAGCTGGGTTGTGGGTAGACTCTATGATACACCTGTTGCAGAAATCAGCCTGTTCTTTTTGTAGTATCTATTAAACTTGAAAATGTGAAAAAAAGACTGACGGTACACAATAAAACATACGAGTGGTTTTTATTAAAAGCTTTATTATTTAAAGGGGTATGCAAGAGAAGCAAATTCACTCTACATAAAGCCAGTAGGGTCTGGGTGGCGTAACATGAACCCACAGGCAGGGGTGGGTAAGTAGACAGCCTCACAGGTACCAGGCAAAAGGACAGAAATCTTACACAGGGTCTCCTAAGCAGTTGGCCAATCTGTAGGAGGAGAGTCCCAGTGGGTATGTGAGGCTGGATGCCAGGCCCAGCAGGGAAGTCCATTCCTTGTTGGAGACCAAATGGCAGTCAGAGGAAAACATGCCTCATGATCCAGGCGGTAGGAATGCCTTGTACCTCTGGGCACATCAAGATGAACAGAAGCAGGCTTGGAAGAGAGACTGGAGATTTAAGTCATGCCGCGGAGTCTCTAGGATAAAGATGCTCACCACTCTTCACCTGTTCAGTTAACAGTGGGTCCCGCCCGCTGTCCTCCCAACGCCATTGTAGATGCCAGGAATTAAATAGTGATAAAACGTGAACATCTCTGCTTGTGTGAAACGTACGTTCTTGATCGGGGAGATAGACAATGACCAGGTGAGTTAGCAGGCGACAAGTCAGATCTTAGAGAAACAAAGAGGTACTTCCAGGATGTTCCCCTTCTGCATAGAACACCTCCTCCTCTGTATTTAAATGCAGAGGTGGCATTTGATTGTGCTCCCGAAAACGGCTTCAGTGAGCTGCCTTCCTCGTGGCAAGGGGACCGAAAGCAGTGCGCGTGACCTGGGTACCATCTATCAACTGTATTCAGCACGCCTCTTGCTGGTTAAAGATTTAGTCGCAGAGGGAGATAAATAACCCATGTGGGGACAGAAACGGGAAAGAGAATGCTGGACTATGTGTGGATGCACAGATCTCAAAGAGATGCTAGGAAGAATCCTCCTTCCTCAGTTTCTGGAGAAGCTGTCACAAGGGAAATGGGGGGGGGGACGCAGGTGTGTGGCAGCCTGACCATCATGCCAGCTCTGTCTGTAGGAGTTATCTGATATCATCGGGTGACAGGTTATTTCCACATTATTATTATTACTATTGCATGCTGGGGTATTGATAAACTCTCCTACAGGCTTTGTGTCTGGGATGCTTAATCCCGATCCCTTGCCTTGCTAGCCCTAATGCTTTGTGCTTGCTTGTCTGTCTGTTCCAGCACTGTAGGAAACCCACCTCGGAGAGGCAAACAACATGGCTAGCTCAGCCCGGGAACATCTGCTTTTCGTACGGCGTCGAAATCCACAGATGCGGTATACGCTGAGCCCAGAGAACCTCCAGAGCCTCGCAGCCCAGAACTCCCTGCCCGAGAACATGGCCCTGCAGCGAGCCAACAGCGACACAGACCTGGTGACTTCCGAGAGCCGCTCCAGCCTGACCGCCAGCATGTACGAATACACGCTGGGGCAAGCCCAGAACCTCATTATCTTCTGGGACATCAAAGAAGAGGTGGACCCCAGCGATTGGATTGGGCTCTATCACATAGGTGAGTCCAAGCAAAGCCTTGCACGTGGCCCGCCCTAGAGTTTTGCTCTGAAACCGAAACGTTCTGTGTTTTCTCCTTGGCATAAAAAGAGAAAAAAAAAAGTTTTTCTGATGCAAATAGACAAAGCAGATTCTGGGAGCTTGCTTTCTTCCTCGGGAGGAGAGGCAACTGTGTTTTTCCTTATATGCATCGTGCGGTTCTATTTCTACCAAATTAAATGTCAGACTCCGTAAGCTCCGGAGTATTGTCTTTAGTCTCTCGTCACCCTTGAGACATACCGTGCCTCGGAAAAAGGGAGGTTACTGACAGCTGTAAACACTGTTAAATTGATATGAAAACAGTGTGTTTCCTAATGGTTGACTTCCTCTTATGACCATCTGTCATCGGGGGTATCTTTGCATGCCTGGGAAATAGTAGCTACTTATTTTGATGAGACAGCCCCAGCTGTCTTTAGCCATTGTCAGATCTGTTATTCCTAGGTGAATCTGTTATTCCTAGATGAATGGAACATCCCAGAAGATAAAAGTGAGTTATTATTGGAATGCAAAAACCAAACCGACCAATTAATCATAAATAAAATTTAGATCTAATGCAATGATGAACTCTCATATTACTCGAAGTGGGGAGGTTTTGTCTCTGAACGAAGGAAATCCCTTTAAGACTGACATCTGATATTGCTTTCAGTGTGGGTTTCTAGCCAAGCATCCTTTTGGCTGTTGTTTAATGAGTAGCGTCATGGCCCGTCCAGCTAGGGCTCCCTGGAGGATTCTGGGCCGTGTGTGGGGACAGTTTGTCACTGTAGAGGGATGGAGCTAAGAGGGTGCTCCACAGCCCAGCTCCCTCTGTCCTGGGAGTCATCTGGTCCACCTAGAGAACCTGGTAGAAGGCGAGCCTACATCCTGGCTGAAGTTTTGTTGCAATGTTGAACTCACTGCAGCTTGCATTCTTTTAGGACTGATTAATCATGCTGGATAGAAAAAAATCTAAAGTAGCAAAAAGTTAGTGAATTAATAGCTTCCCCCCCCCCCCCACACACACCTCTTACAATAACCAAAGGGGTCATAGCAAGACTCTTAAGTTGCTTGTTTTCTTTGGGTGTATTTAACTGTATAGTCAAAGCAAGGACGGCATACCAATTAAAGTTCTTATTTATATTACTATGACCATGAAAGAGCTTGGAGTTTTTGTGGGGATATAAGTCTCCCTTTGGGCTCCGTAAAACTTCTGTGTTTACTTTTCTTATTAATTTTTTTCTTTTTAGATTTTATAGCAAAAATGTCTTCCTACGACATTGCAAATAGAAGACGGTGATTTCAGATGTTTCATATGATGCTTCTTTGGAAAATAGTTTTTACTTTCTTGTGTAAGATTAATTTTTATGTGTATGTGTAATAGCCTATAAGATGCCAGAATCGTGCTGGTATTAACTCCAAATATTTAATATTTTCCCGTCCTCTCTTTTTGTTACTCCGTTCGAACTGTTATGTCTTCCTGTCTAATCTGGAAGAACCAGGAAATCAAGGCAAGGGACCAAAGCTGTAAGATTTCAGTGTTCTTGTGTTTTACCTTTTAGAGGAAGGAGTGCCTGTCAGAGCTACACATGTTGAATTAACACATGGATAGAGCTAGGATAGACATGGGAAGTAAATTAACTCTTTTTCAAGAAGCTCCTAATTGTCCTCACATAAGTCACCGCTTCGGAGCTGCCGTGTGTACAGCATGCCCCCTGCCCTTGGCGCTGCCCCGTGTGCGCATGCTCTCTGCCCTGGGAGCCGCCCTGTGTGCGCATGCCCCCTGCCCTGGGAGCTGTCCCGTGTGCGCATGCCCCCTGTCCTTGGAGCTGCCCCGTGTGTGCATGCCCGCTGCCCTGGGAGCTGCCCGCTATGCAGCATGCCCCCTGCCCTGGGAGCTGCCCCGTGTGCGCATGCTCCCTGACCCCCCTCCCCTCCACCGCTCTGCTGGCCACTTTATATTTGCTCTTTGTATTGGTTTCCGTCAGTTTGACTATGACCCATACAGCTGCGATTTTCATTTTAGTTATCTTGGAATATATGAAGTTTATGTTAATGCTTTTGATGAATTTGGGAAACTTCTTTGCCACTTTTTTCCTAAAATGCGTTGTTCTAACTGTTCTTACTCTATTAGCTCACATTGTTCTGCGAGAGACTCGTGGCTTTGATCCATTTTTTTTTTTTGTGGATCTATTTTCTCCACGATATTCACATTTCACAATTTATCCATCTTCCTCCTCCTTTTCCCTCCTTCATACACATGCATGCACATGCGCGTGCGCGTACACACACACACACACACACACACACACGAGTCTCATGTGTCCCAGCGTAGCCTGGTTGACTTTGAATTCCTGAACCCTTTCACCCTCCCCTCCCATTCCCGAGATTATAGGAGTGGGCCACCACACGGCCCTATTCATCTATCCCCAGGTTAATTATCCTTTTCCTTCCTTTATTCTGTTGTCAGTCCAGTTGACCGGTCTTAAAATTTCAGATAGTTGACTTCTGACTTGGGGAATTTTTCATTCGGATCTCTTGGCAGGACAGAGTAGCAAGAAGCAATCTCAAACCTCTCAAGAGACGGCGAATACAGCCTAGGGTACGCATTGACATGCCGAGTAAGTAGACTGAGATATTTGGTCTTCCTGCACACGCCGTTAGTCTTAGAGGATCGTCCACGGTAAATGGTCCTAAAAGGCATGGGTGCCAGGCTTGTAACTTTCAGTGTAATTTATTTCTGCAGTTGCAGGGCTGCTGCTGTATTTGAAAGGGGCAGGGGAATGGATGGGTGATTTGATTTTAAACCTGGGTCCTCAGACCCAGTGGACAGAGGGCTAAGCACAGGTAGCCATTTACCCCCAGGGTGGAAGGAGCTCTTTCCCCCTACTTCTGGGGGAGAATGGGCAAGAATGGGCATCCAAGAGGAAAGGGGTGGGAGGCGTAACAGTGGCCTTTAACTGATAGTCATATGTTGGGGACTGTGGACCCCCAGACCCTGAATTTCCTGTAAACAGCTTGTTTTCCCTATGCTTGCAGCTGCTCTGAGCACGCGGCCCTCATCAGTCCCTGATGGCGGGGGAGTGGTTTCTGGTGGCTTGCAGCTGAAGGATCCCGAGAGCTAGGGCGTGGCCATTGGTCAGGGAAGGCACCATATAAGCTGCCCTGGGACCCAGTAAAGTTGTCATTCTTGGGGAATTCAAGGACGACTTATGTCTCTGTCTGTGTGCGTATGTATGTGTTTCAGTCTCCAGCCTCTTGCCCAGCTCACACACCGTCCCATAGTGCAGGCGGTACGCTACAGGCATCGTGCGTGTAGTAGCTTGGATGCCTGACAGCCAGATCCTACTGTTTCCCGCTTAACTTTCCTGTTCAGTCTGTCTAATGTTACTTGTCTGTATGGTTTCAGGGCTGACCATTTGGTATTGGATAACCAGTCGGTATGTTCTTCC